GGATAGGCTCGGGCCCGCGCCCGAAAGGGTTAAACCTTTCTCATGTTACCGAGCGGCTTATAAGGAGGGGGAGGCCAAGCCTCCGCCTTATTGGGGTTTATTCTCTTCCCTTCTAACTTGGTGAGTTGGTTTTATTATTTTACATGTTTAAAAGTTTGATTGTGGGCTATGGTTTTTTTTTAAAATATATATACGTGTGGGGGCTTTGGGGAGGGACGTTGAAGGACACTACTGAACATCTTAACATTTTGGAGAGGTTATTCCGAAAAACATTCTGACAGTTCGGAATGTAATGGGAACGTAACTAGGATGACGCGCTCTTGCCGGTGCGGGCAGCCGAGAGTTGAACGCCCGTGACCCTGGTACAGTTGGGGTCCGGGCAGCACCTGAAGGCAGGCCTGGCCTGTGAGTGTCCCACGGCCCGGGTTAGGGGCTCCGGGCTGTCGGGCGAGGCGAGGATGGCAGGCTCACCTCTTCCTAGGATTTTCCGCATGAAGTTGCCTGCGCTTCCCTAGAGCGAAATGTCAGAGGGACATTCCTTGCCCAGGCTCGCGCGCGCATGCAGGGCGGCCACTGAGGCAGCGCGAGGGAAGTGGGGGTCCGGGTCTTCCCACCCAACACACCAGCGGCCGGGACAGCTAGCGTTCGTCCAGGGGGCAAGGCGGGGATTACTCTAGAGCGCGGGCCCTGCACCTGGATGGTCAGAACTGCCAGAGGCTGGGGCTGGTCCCGCGCAACTTCCACGGTTCCCAGGCTACCAACCGCAGGAAAGCGCAGAGGTAACCCAGCCGTTCTGTAGCGAGGGAGGATGGTTTTGCAGAGGAAGTGGCTTATTTTCTACTGCGTCGTTGTTTGCTTTGCTTTGCTTTGCTTTTTATTCTCCCCACCCCTGGCAGACAGGTGATAGAAGTTTGTTAGGTGGCATGTAAAATGTCCCCAAACACAGGGGGCGTCGGTCTTAGAAAAAGCTCCTGGGAGCACCTGGAAGAAAGCAATTCCTACCTGCCCACCTGGAAGTGCATTTGGTTGGCACAGTGAGATGCTTGGTGCCAGCTCCTGCTCACCGGAGACGCTTTCTACCCTGGGAATGAGATTACTCAGTGATTTTACTGTTTTTGCAAATCATAGTAAGATGGTGTCTTGTTTGCAAGAAAATGTCAAATGCTTATGCCAAAATCTCGAAGTGTTGCAGTTCCCCGTGCCCCAAGCACCATTACGTGGCATTTTAGGGGCAGCAGTCCATTCTGCCCGGTGACTATAGTAGGAACACCTCTTAGAATGAGGGAAGAGTGGCCCAGATAGAGACTTGGAGATGTAAATAAACAATGCCGTCAAGTGGAAAAGCCCCTGTATTCCTGAGCACCACAGCCCTAAGTTTTCCTTTTGTGGTTTCCCAAAAAGGGCTTTCCTCCGTGGAACTCCTGAGGAGGACACTTAAATGAGGGGCTCAGGTTTCAACATAAGGTCTTGTAGAATGAGTGAATCGGCTGTATCCGCTGATTCCACGCTTCTGCGGCTGCTGCCCAGGTTAGGTTTGGGATTTTTTTTTTTTTTTAAATAGAGTTCAAATGAGCTTCATCCAAATACACACTGGTTGTGACAACGGGGGCCAGAAACAACTTGTCCAAGGCTGTTCTCCAGACTACGCCTTTAAGAAGAATGGAGAGATCCGGGTGCATTTGCTCATGCCCAGCTGAGGCAAGGAGCTATCTCCACCCAGAGCCTGCCATTTTGAACTTTGTTCTGACCTAATCCCGGACCAACGTTCTGATGGTCTCCAGTAACTCAATAGACTTCATTTTTCATGCCCCTGTCAAATCTTTTCTCAGCAAATTAAATCACAGTGAAATCTACCCCCAGGCGTAGATTTCTAAACCTTGGCAGATTATCCATTTATTTAAGGGGACACTGGAGATAACCAGAGGTCACTAGGAAACACCGCAGACTGCCCCACGCGTGTCTTGTCATACTTCCTTCAGAAGGACAGGAGGTGAGAGGAAGATGGCTGCTGGGAACTGGAGAATTTTATAGTTGGAAAAGACCCATGAGATGGCTGTGTCTAACTCCTGCTCTTAAAGATTTAGAGATTAAGTGATTTCCCCCAAGATTATGCACCCTACTAGTGCAAGCAGAACCTCAACAAATATTGCCCAGGGGCTTCAAAAAGATACACGCATGGGCCTCGTCGCCCCTAAAAGGCTTGAGAAGGATGCAAGTGTAACTAGCACAAGGAGGGTCAAAGGCTATCACAGAATTGTAGGTTCAACTCCCTCGATTACCTGTTAGGTCAGTGAAAATCAAGAAGCAAAATGATTCGCCCAAGGCCATAGCTCAACTTGCCTTGTCACTTCAATCCCCATACAGCCAACTAATATCCCTTCCAATCTGATAAATTTACATGACCATAAAACCAACATGGACAATTTCCATGTTAGAGAATTTGTAGAGGCTTCAAAGTAGCCACGTTTGAAATTCAGGCGAATTCAAAATTCAGTCTTGAGTTGCTTTGTTTGCAGAGGTAGACAGTTTGTAAAGGCAGTCAGCCTTGTGCTAAATGAATGGAAGGAACAAAAAGAGCAGAGTCCAAGACAGGGTTTATTCAGCAACTAGACTCTTCTTTTTATGATTTAGTCTATAAGGCATGAGCTGCTCATCGCTTTAGGAATGTCCCAAGACTCATACTTCGTTCAGTAAACATTTTTTTTTAATTTAACTTTATTTTAATTTGATCAGAGACAGAGAGAGAGAGAGAGGAGAGAGAGAAAGCAGGATGCCAGGTCTGGGACTTGAACCACGGTCAGCCATATGAGAGTCCAGTGCCCTTTGCCACCATGCCACCTGCTGGCCCCATTCAGTAAACTTCCTTATTTATTTATTTTTTGGAGAGGTTTTTGCTATAGGGCACATGCGCTCACCAGAAAGACAGAGAGACAGAAAGCAAGAAATCACTCCCCAGGGCGAATGGCTACATTGCAATCCCTTCTCCATTCTCTCAGGATCTTGGGCATGCCCACACGTGCAAGCGGTGTGAGTTTAAGCCACTGGATCCCCATGGTCGACTACATGGGAATCCAGTAACATAGCCATTACGCCAACTGCTGGTCCCTGTGCCAAACACTGTCCACTGCTGAGTGCCCTATAGGTGTCTGTCATGTGTAATCTTACATGCAAAATGCAGATGTTGGCACCTGATAAGTTTTTAGAGACTTTACAAAGTGCAGTTGAACAAAATGAGCTCGAAATTCCCTCTCAGCTTTAATACTCTGTAATTCTATCTACTTGGGGACTACAGGTTGATCTTAACCCTACCCATTTTGCAAGTGCAAACCACTGATCCCACAGCTTTCCAAGGATGCTAGGTGGTTCAGCTCCTACAAAAGCCACAGTCTTGTTCTCATCTAAATGCAGCCCACCTCAAAGATTTCTGTCTCTTCCCTCAATGATCTTAGTCTTAAGAGAGGTTCAGCTTGTCTGTCTGGAACCTTTATCAGTCTTATCTCAATATATTCAAGTCGGGCCTGAGCCCTCCATTAAGACTCAAGACCTGGGCTGGCTCGGTGGCACAATGGTAAGGTGCTGTTCAAAGGCAGCCAGAGCCCACGTGGCGACCATGGTTTGAACCCCTAGCCTGGTTAGCCTGGAACACCCAGCACATGCATGAGTGCCCAGGATCCAGCAGGTTGGAGGACTGCAGGAAGGGGATCCCAGTGTGAGCAGGCCCTGCAGAGAGTACTTCTCTGTCTCTCATGTACACATATGCTCTATTATGAATTTAAAAAAAAAAAAAAGGTTGCTCTCTTTATTTAAAAGGAAAAAGACTAAGACCTTACGGGCATCTATCTGGGTCACAACAATCCTGCCAATAGGACCTCAGACTTACAGCCATTTCATCCTGACTGCTTGTCAAACAAGCTAACTCTGGAAGGATGTGGCTGAATGCTTTATTTATTTTTTCTTTATTTACAAGCGAGCATGTGCACATACACATCTGATAAAGAGAAAGCACGTTTCAATGGGGCCTGGACATGCTGTAGTCCTCCTTCCTCCGATTCTCCATCCCATCAGGATCTAGGGCTGGGATTCACATCCCAATTGGACATGGGTGCTCTGGGTTCCTCCACATAATGCTTAATTTCTGTGTTATGGGGCCTGTCATGAATACATAGGATACATTTCAGTATTAAGGTTCCTTGTCATCATAAACATATTTTAGTCCATGGAGGTAGAGACCGTCCCTCATCCTTTTCACTCTAATATCCCTACAGTGGAAGCAGAAAGCCTGACACCTAGTAGGTATTTTGCTGAAAAATAAAGCCATATACAAGTATGAGGATGCTACAAAGGGATGCAGACTCCAGATTTTGTGAGCTTAAAAATGTAAATAAGAGGGACCAGTAGATGGTGTAATGGCTATTCCCATGTAGTCAGCCACGGTTCCAGTCCTGGACCCAGTGGCTTAAACTTACACCGGGCACATGTGCATGCATGCCTAAGATCCCGAGAATGGAGGAAAAGGGATTAAGGTGTGGCCATCCCCCCTGGGGGGTGATTTCTCACTTTCTGTCTCTCTGTCTCTGTCTTTCTAGTGAGCACACATGCCCTATAGCAAAAACCTCTCAAAAAATGTAAATAAGATAAATGTATAGAAGAAAATTGAGCATTCAGTGATAATCTGTCACATGAAGCAGTGAGCTCCTTAGGGCGAATTGGTCAAGAGCGTTATGGAAAAAGCAGGATCTGATGGAGCCAGGCCCTCAAGATTATACTCGCCAGGGACCAGTAGTTAGCGTAATGGCTATGTCACTGGACTCCCATGTTGTCAACCACAGTTCGAGTCCTGGACCCTGTGGCTTAAACTCACGCCGGGTGCATGTGCGTGCATGTCCAAGATCCCGAGAGGAGAATGGAGGAGAAGGGATTGTGGCGTGGCCATCCCCCCTGGGGGGGGGGTGATTTTTTGCTTTCTGTCTCTGTCTTTCTGGAGAGTGCACACGTCCTATAGCAAAAACCTCTAAAAAAAAAAGATACTCGCCAGCTGGAGTGGACCTTCAGCCTAGGGAATGGTTTGATCAAAGGCAAGGTGCATAGAAATTGGAGGGCCATGAGAAGTCCATTTTACTTTTTAAGGAAACTTTTTAAAAGTTTATTTCTTCCATGAAAGAGACTGAGAGACAGAGAGAGAGCAGGAGGCAGCACCCCTAACAACCCACTCCCAGCCTTAGCCAGCCTAGATCATGGGCACACACGTGCCCGGCATACTCTGGACAACCTGGAAGCTTCCTATGTGGGTCAACCTTGAGAGTGTTGCGTTTTACCTGCACCACCATCCGGCCCTCCCATGAGGAGTCCATTTTGACCACAGCAGGCAAGTCAAGTCTAGAACTGGAAGAAGTAAGGTTACAAAGACAGGTTGGGGTCCAATTATGAAGGACACTGAAAGTCAGGCTCATGAGGGAATTTTAGCCTTCAGAAAGAGGAAGCCATTGAAAAAGTCTGAACAGAAAAACGCAGTATTTCCAAAAGGTTAGCAGTACCGCACACACAGCACCAGCTGAGAGGCTATGAACACAGCTGGGGTCTTCATAAGGAAAAGCTCAAGCTGGGCAGTGAGTGAGTGCAGGGGTGGAGGCTGAGGCCTTGACAGCTGCAGGCTCACAATCACCACCACCTCCACCCTCCTTCCCACCAGCACCTCCTCAAAGACAAACACTCTTCTAAAGCCGGCACTGGGAGATAACTTTCCCTTTGGTCTTCTAAATCTTCCACCTCATGCTGTTCTAATTCCTCTGTCTCAGAGGCTTCATCTTGAGAGTGTCTTCTGCAAGACCAATGAAGAAGAGGTCTTGTGAAAACTTTGTTTGCTAGGGGGCCCCAGGCTCCCATGGTCAACCAGTGGGGAGCACTGATGAGCACTGTTCTGCAAAGCTCAGCCTGTATGTGGAGCTATTTAACTGCCCTTCCTACCTTTCTATTGGCTTTCTGGCATGACATATCAACACTCATCACAATACGGAGGCTTTCCTAGCAGACAGCATAAGCTTCTTAAAGTATTCTATGCCCGAGGGGCCAGCAGATGGTGTAGTGGTTACCACGTTGGACTCTCACATGGCCAATCTTGGTTCAGGCCAGGGCCCGGTGGCTTGAAAATCATGTGGGGCACATGTACATGCATGCATGCCCAAAATCTCAGGAAGAGAATGAAGAAGAGGGGATTGCAGTGTGTCCATCCCTTCTTTTTTTTTTTTTTTTTGAGAGATTTTTCACTGTAG